TCGTCTTTTTACTTAGTCCTTGTAACTACTTATTTGCTTAAATTCTAATTTCGGGACGAAATTCCTTCTAAAAGGGGATGATGTGACAACCCAAATTTCTATTATGTACAACATGTCAATCAATAGAAGTCAAATCAGTTACAGTTAAATTTTCAGACTTTTTGGATTAAGTTTGATTATTTTAGGATTTACACTTTAGGAGATACCAGGAGAGAGGATGCCCTAGGGTTATAGTGCAACACTGGTATTCCTAAACTTCAAGAAATTGGAGATTACTGCCGGAATAAAATAGTTTCAGCCAAAAACCCATAAATTTGGAGTATATATATGACACTTGTCATTTTATGTCATTTTTTCCAAATTTCTCAAGAACAAAAAGCAAATCCTCTCAAGTATCATCCCGGGTTTATTCCAGATCTCGATCTAGTAAGTGTTTTCAAAATTCACCATTTCAAGTTAGTAGATCACTTAATCTAGTGTTTTACACACCTTTCAACATAACCGTGAAATCATTCCAAAAGGTTGATTCTTCCATTTTCACCAAGAACACCAAGAACACACACTAGTGTTCTTGGCATTTTGGCTCATTTCAAGCTTCCATATAGTAAGTACTTCTATCCTAGAGTGTGTTTAAGCTTGCTATACTTCATTATAACATAAAAACATCCAAGAAACACCAAGAAAATGGTGTTTACGGTCCAAGAACATCTTGAACCGTAAACCCATTTTAAGGGACCAAATGTCCCTAGTCCCTTCCTAAGCCTAGGTAACTAACTTGGATCCTTACCTTGATGTGTTAAGGACTTGAAATCATCAAAATACCAACATCCATAAGGGTTTACGACCGTAAACCCAAAGGGATGTGGTCTTTGGGCCGTAAACTCCAAATAGGAGTGGAATGGTGCCCTAGCTTCTTCCTTAGGCTTATACTTCAAGTGGAAACACTTCAATGGACTTAGAAACCTTCAAAATCAACAAATGGTCAAAAGAGGGGGAGTTTACGGCCGTAACTCTAGGGTTTACGACCGTAAACCCATTGGGTTGAGGTCACAAAACCGTAAACTCAAGTTAGGGTTTCTTTGAACCCTAACCCTATAGCATTGTTCTACAACACTTAGATGCATTCCTTGAGACTTATAACACTTATATAAGGTGTTTAACTTGTCTTAGGATGCCTTAACTTTGCTAATTAGTTGTTTTAAGGAGCTAATTAGATACATATATGTTTGTATTTATATGTTAAATAGGATCATTGTGTGTGTACAAGTCTTCACTTGACACCTAGCAATCCTATTTCTTCAGTTCATCCAAACCACCAACTACAGGTGAGTTCATACCCCTTAATTAACCTTTTAAATGTTTTTAAATGCTTTTATGGGGGGGGGGATACAAGTTGAACAATTATAGTTATTATATCAATCACATGTGATTAATAACTACCAAACAAATGGTTTTCTTACTTTTCAAACTGTTTATCAAACTGTTTTACCACAAACTACTTTACAAACTCTTTTACTTATCAAATACTTTACTTAAACTCTTTTAAACTTATATTCTGTGTATCTATATAGATATAGTTATATAAGTAGGATTGAAAGGACTTAGGACTGCTAGTCTACCCTGCTTCCTGTTCTTGTTTGATTGTGGTCTTAGGGTATCAAGGTTAGTTTGTCCGAGGGTCGTTTGAATCCTAGTTATATATTATGTATATGTATATAGATATAAAAGGTTTTCCTTCATTCAAGTCCATGCCCTTGGGTAGCAAGGGTAATACAACATGTTCATACATTGCTAGTAAGCTACCATAGGGGTAGTTAGGAGATACTATTACTAGAACGATGAAACATACAATGATTCAGTTCATACATGGTCAATACATACTATAATGAGAAACAAACATGAAACAGAGTGATGAGAAACAAACATACAGGCTAGACAGAGAAAGAACACACAGTACAGGCTAGACAAGCAATTCACATAACATTTACATTAATACATTTATGTGAGCCATTAACAGGGCATGGCACTACCTGCCATGACTGTTTTTGTATCAGAATCTCCTTAATTGGGGAGCGTATGAGTTTTGTGTATAGATCGTACTGGATTGACTATCCTACAACTTGGAAGCGTCTCTAAAGTGGCTGCAGGTCTCGCTACGTGGGCTTGCAAGTCTACGGGTGCCAAACGTCATTTTTGTGGCATCTTACATGTCACTTTACTATTGAGTCGGTAGCAAGATACAGGCCGATCACATGTTACCTTAAAATATACAATTAGCTTAAGGTAGTTAGTACAGCAGTAGTTTCATAATACTACATTAAAGTACTATAACATTTTCCCTTTACATTTTACTTTGTGATTTCACACAATAAACAATAATGCAAAAACTATATTTTTGGTTAAATGGTAGTCGGATTTGGGAAAACTCACTTTTACAAAGGATACACACACAGACACTAGATGCCTTGGTAGAAGGCTACTTTTAGTAGGAAACATAGGGTTTTCTAGGAGGATAGTTCAAACAATACAAAACTTTTACAAACACAGTACATCTTACAAAACATCTTACAAATGCTTTCATACAAACACAGACACTAATATACTTATGAACTCACCAGCTCTAAAGCTGATAAACTCTTTCAAATAACTGTATTCTCAGGTCACCAGTAGACAGGTACCGAGCCAGGTTTTGAGAAGATGGAGCTCGTTCAAGACTCATCTTATTTTTGATGTATATTGGTTTTGGTGTCTTTAAAACTTAACGGAACACACTTGTATGGAATTATTATTAATGCAATGGATGATGTTGTTTGCTTGTTTACTACTTGCATTGTTGTGATACTGTACATGACGTCCTCCACCCCAGAACGTTTCCGCCGTTCATTTGGTTTTGAGGGTGTGACAGTAGGTGTCACCGCTTACCCCTCTCAGTGTTTAACAATTGGAGGTAATGAGAATCCATTATAGTCATATACTGTTGGAAGATTTAGAATAGTTTATACTATTACTTTTTATTTGGGTTTAATGTTTGTATAAAAAAATTATTAATATCATGGGAGTTATGTAATATACTAAACTTAGTCGTTTGTATACAGTTTTTTGTAATCACACTATCAATGTAAAATATTATTTATAAATATGCATGTAGCATGTTTTGGAGTGACAATGTCTTTAGTACGAAAGTTAGGGTCTTTCAATTCACTAAGCTTCGTGCTTACCGTGTTGTGTGATATGTGTTTCAGGTACTTCTCAGGATCGCGGGAAGGCGCCGACTTGATTGTACACATCTGTTCGAGATTATGATGAGGATTCTGGGATATTATCGATTGTTTTGTTGAGTTTGGATTCTGACAATTGATACATTGTGGTTTTGAGGAAATATGATATTGAGTTTTATGTGATTTAAAATGAAAATTTTGTTCGAAAATTTACAGTGTTACAGAAATGCTAGTAGTCTTTGTGATACTTGCAAGAAAGACCATGGGGGGAGCCCATGACACTTGGATATCAGACCATGAGGGTGAACCTATATCATTCCAGCTAAAGACCATGGGGGGAGCCCATGACACTTGGATATCAAACCATGAGAGGAGCCCATGACATTTCAGGTAAAGACCATGGGGGGAGCCCATGACACCTGTATGTATGACGCATGATATTCTGTGGTTGTATGTATGTGGTATTTTGGGAAACTCACTAAACTTTGTGCTTACGGTTTTCAGTTTATGTTTCATGTACTTATGGTTTTCAAATGGAAGAGTTCGGGATGATTGCAGAGCACACACCACATGTTTCCGCATTATGTGAATTACTCTGATTTGATGATGTTTTGCTAAATCTTGGTTACCTTGGTTTTATGGGAAAAAATATGTATTAACGATTTATCAATCTAAAAACAAAAATTTTTTTGTCATGATTTTCGGGACGTTACACAATAAAATTGAAAACCCAAAAATCCCCCAAACCACATGTCTTGGCAGTAACAACATTGAAACAAAAAAAAACATAAACGAAAATCTAAAATCACCCAAATATTGCTAATCGAAATCCCCCCAAAAAAACATATACGAAAAAAACATAAAGGAAAATCTAAAAAAAACATAGAAGAAAATCTGAAAATTACCTAAACGGCGACAACCACTGTTTTGCGTCGACAAATTCATATAAGGCTTTAGTAAGGTTTAGCTTCACTGACCGCCACGGAGGGGGAACCAATCGAAGTTCAAAATCTAAACCCCCAAAAATCAAACCATTAGTCCTTAATTGGTTCAAATGATTGATAAACAACTTCGGATTACAGAAACGAAAATCGAGCAGATGAACAAACTCCATCGCCTTCAATTTATGTATGTTGCAGGATAGATGAAATCAACGATGGATGATGGGTATTTCCAAATCAGTTGCTTCTGCAGAGTAATCTATGAATCTTAACTTGCAAGTTCAGAGATTTGAAGCAAAGATTGAAAAACACGAGAGGAGTAGACTCTTTTCATGAACTGAAAATCACGAAACAGTGGAAAAAATCCGAAACGATGATGATAGAAGGTAGCGACGGAGACAGAAGCATCCTCATGGTGGGCAGAGCTGGAAAACTGGAATACAGAGCAGATTAGAAAGAAAGGGGAAGAATACTCATGTTATCCCATCGTGGAAGAAGTAGATTAACCGAGAGTGACGGTCACTATTAGCAAGCCGACGACTGTGCAAAATAAGTCGCAACTCCAAAAACCCAAGCCGACTTATGAATTTACTGATCATAAGTTGAAATAAGATTATATATATATATATATATATATATATATATATATATATATATATATATATTCGTTTTAAAAGACATTATTAAAGTAAAAATCAACCGAAAATATACAACTCTTGATTTTAATTTCCAATCACAAACAAAAACTTTTGGAATTGAGACTCGAGAGTCGAGAGATGAGACTTGATAGCGGCCCAAGTTGAATTTCAACTTAAAAGCTAAGCCCAACTGATACCTTTACTATAAAAGCCTCCCGTGTTGCAAACCCTAACTTCCACTATCTGCACCACTACTGCCTCAACCCTTCTTCTCGGCGCTCCACATCCAGAACTGCAAAAATGGTATAAGGAAACCCTAATTTCCACTCCCTTTACGTATATACTAATGTGTGATGTGTACCTTAACAAATTTCTATGCAAATTTTGGTCTTTGTAGCCGTTCAAGAGGTACGTTGAGATAGGAAGAATCGCCCTTGTCAACTACGGAAAGGATTATGGAAGGCTCGTTGTTATCGTTGATGTCATTGATCAAAACAGGGTATTTACTTTTTGCCTTGATTTTCTAGCTATGACCTTGATATATTTGATCTGATTCGGTGCTTTTATGTGATGATACCATATCGCTAGGCGATGTATTTGAACATGTAAATTTGCTCTACTTTATTTAAAACAAGATACGATTAGGTATTTGTTTAGTTGTACTTGCGGATTGGATTTAAAATCAATGAAGTCTTGGAGTGTTGTAAAACATCAGCCTTATAACAATGATCTTTGAGTGCCACGTAATCTTAGTATCATGTTATTGTATTAGTATCATGTTATTGTATTTCTTTTAAAAATTAGAACTTGGCTAAAACAGAAGAAATCTGAGCCTAGAATGTACTTTCAGAAGTTTTTAAAGAGGGAACAACTAATGTTGGTAGACACATATCCAATGCCAATCGATCTAGTTATATGTATCGTATAATCATTTTGTAATTTTTGATTGATAGGCTCTTGTGGATGCACCTGACATGGTTAGGGGTCAAATGAACTTCAAGAGACTAACTCTCACAGACATCAAAATTGACATCAACAGAGTCCCAAAGAAGAAAACTCTTATTGCTGCTTTAGAGGCAGCTGGTAAGTATCAATTTGTTTGTTGGGCTTTTTGTTCTTGTGGCTTGTGAGATAACTCAAAACATTAAATATTTGTAGATGTTAAGAACAAGTGGGAGAGCAGTTCTTGGGGAAGAAAACTTATTGTCCAGAAGAAGAGAGCCTCACTTAATGATTTTGACAGGTTTAAGATCATGTTGGCAAAGATAAAGGTAATTTAACTTGTATTTTGCACATTTAATTATTGTAATCTACATGATTTTTGCACTAGTTTCTGGGTCATGTGTCTATATATGACATTATGTTTTTTAGTTCAAACAATTTTACTTATTGCGAGTGTTGTAATTGTGATCTTGCAGAAAGCTGGAGTTGTAAGGCAAGAGCTAGCAAAGCTTAAGAAGGAAACCACAGCCTAATTATCTTGATTTTTGTTTCTAATTATCAAAGATTTTGTTGAACGTATGAGGAAGCCATTGTTGGTTGCTTAGAAAGCTTTGTGGTTTTTTTTTTTACCTTTTTCTCTCAATGTATTTTATTAAAAGAAACCTTATTGCAAGATTTTAGTATTTGTTTTCGTTGGAAGTACCAAATCTCTGGAACTATTTTAGGTGGGTAAAATTTTAAAAATATGCCCTGATGAATATTTATTATTGTATGTTTGGTATAACATATACATGTGAAGTCAGAAGAGTAATCGTTCTTTTTCATAAATAAAACAAACAGTAATTTTCTGATAAAACTTGAAAATATGGTTTTTAATGTTATTAACAAGCTGTCTAAAATCACCGAGTAATATCAAATTTAGAGAATCTACTGAAAATTTGAGGTTTTTTTTGAGAATGTTATTTAAGGTTGAAAGTAAAAACAATCAAGATAAAGAGAGTTTGGTCCGATTGGCCTAGTATATTGGAATTTTAGTAAAAGAAGGTTTAAACGTCGAATGTACTTATGTTAAAGGGCCTTTTTTATATAATTTCGTATTAGTAAAAACCAACTCCGAATTGATGACAATGTTTTTCTCGATGGATGAAGGAATGAAAAAGTATGTTGGAACTAGTTTCCCTTAAATAGAAGGTGCATCTTGTAATGCATCAAGCACAAGTCAAGCTGTTGGGATGACGCTGATAAGTAATTTGACACCGCTGGTTTATATTTAGCAACTAGTTTGAATTGGTAAAAACTGAAACTGAAATCAAAGGTGGTGTTTTAATCTCTTTAATTATGGTGATCACCATCTTAATTCCTCCTATTATCTCTCTTCCTCACATACATGATACAGGATACGTCTTTCTTCATTCCTGTTTCATCTATTATATCCATTTCTCCGTATCCCTCCACCCGATGTCTTCTGGTTGATCAATCCGTTTGGTTGGAATTAATTATTTCTCTTTAGAGTTGTTACTTTATATTACGGGGTCAACTGACCCCGGCCATTCATTGTCCGGCGGAGCATACTGATTCTTTGACGATGGGTACCAAGGTCAAAGGCTTTTTCAAAGGCCTCAAAAACATCTCAAATATTTTCGGTACTTTTTTACCCTCTCTTAATCAGTTTAGTTATATCTATGTATGTATGTATGCATTAATTCTTCTCAACTTTAATTTCGGGTCATCAGATGAAGGAGAAAAAGAAGAAGAAATACAGATCGGTATGCCCACGGACGTGAAGCATGTTGCTCATATTGGTGCTGATGGACCCGCCATGGAATCTCCCAGCTGGGTGGGTATTCATAATTCATATCTCTTTGATAAATGGTTACATACTTTATATATATGTATATACGTATACACACATGCACATACAATCGGTTTTTTTTTTTTGATTTCTTTTGGTGTGGGGATGCATATATATGCAGATGAAGGAGTTTGATGGCGGGAAAAGTCAGTCAGGACCACTGGAAGAGAGGCCTCATGTTAAAAAAGGTGGTTGTCGATGTTTTCAAATTCTAAAGCTTTTATAGAAACAGTTAATTGGTCGAGACTTGAGATTGATGAATGATGCTGTGATTTTATTAATGGATGGATGGATGTGTAATTAATATATAGGTACAAACAACCATAGGATTTCTCGAAGCGAGGAACTAAGTATTCCGGAGAAACCAAAAGCACATAGACACCGTCATCATCGGTCAATAGATTCTGATTCTGATTCGGCATCATCATCATCGACTACAAAACATACGAGGAGACACAGAATTCGAAGGTCAAAGGACAAAGGTGGGGAGGAGTCATCAAGGTTGCCGGACATCCCCAAGAAGACTCGACGGAAGAAACCAAAGGATGATGATGCGTCGGTGAAATCAACACAATCTCAGGATACCGCCGTATCTTCCTGCAGTGAACCGCCTTCCGATCTTTAAACCGAAACTAGATAGGATCATATCCTACAACAAAGGAAAGTGGGAGGAAATAAGGGCACTTTGAACTTTGAAGGGTATCATAGTCCTTTTGCTTTTCTGCGTTGGCTAATTACAAAAACACCCTTGAAACTAAGATTGTGAAGAAGTAGATGTGGGGTCACTTTTGGGGGTAGTCGAAGACTCCAGGATTTGGTAATATTTGTGTTTCATTTCCGGTTCCCCTCTTTTTTCCTATCTAAGTATGCACTTCAACTTCATGTAATGTCCATGAGAGATTGATTCTTTGAGGGTCATTTTTTTGTGTTCTTCAGGGATTTGGGGTCAAATTTTATTGTTGTAATATGAATCTATGATAAATTTGATGGTTTATTCGGTTTGGAAGTCATCTTCTTGTGTCTTATTTCAATTTCATCCCTATACATACCCATAAATAATATAATATTGTTGGTTTGTTTGTCTTTATTGAAAGTTTTGGTTCAAATTTGATTGTTAATATTGTCATGATACCTTTCCAGCAAAAGATAACAAAAATATAAAAATTGATTAAACTAATCCTTTTTTTTTAAGAAAATAACTTTTTTTTAAATAACCACGTAGTACGGAATGCTACATTCCAAACCCATTTTTAATTGGGTCACCTACATTGTTCATCCGACTTCTTGTTACTGTGGGTCCCCTATTCATATCATTTCGGGCACTCACTCCAGAACGGGCATTTTGGATTACACATTCTTCTCCAAACGGTGTTTCAGAGTTGCAAGATCACACATTACAGACTAAAGGATTATCAAAGGATGAGAGGTTGAACATCTATGGGTATGTGTCATTCATGGATCTGTGGCATCTGATTAGAACTTTTTGTTTGTTGGTAATAGTTTTTTATAGGAAATTATTTTTGTCGACTACATTTTGGTGGCACTTAGGGTTTTTGTATGATTTATATTAGTATTACTACCAATTAGTATAAGTATAACTCTAGACAAACCTCTTCTGGCACACTACAGAATGCGAAGAACGAGTATAAAACCTGTAGAATTTGTCTAGAACACGTAGAAGAATGTAGAATCCATAATAATATACTATTATTTATTTATTTATTTTTTTGGTAGCATGAGGATATATACGAAGTGGTTGTCACTACAATATAAATACAAAGTGGTTGTCACTACAATCTACAAAGTTGAATAAGTAGGGAAATACGGCTAAGTAGCCTACTCTGACCCGAGCGACGCTTTTTAGGGTGTTATGTTTTGGTATGTGAGTCAATGTGGAGATGGGTATAGAATGTCACACATTAATATGTCATTACTTGTTATGCAATTATGCAAGGGGGTAGTCACCCATCCTCTGTCTAATGTTAACGTGTTACTATTCCCGATAAGTGGTTACCATCTTTATTTCGATAAGAGAGCTTTCTTCCTTGTTACCGACTTTAATTCAAAAAGGGAATAAACCATTTCCCATATAACATAAGTCATAAAAACATTGTTTCACAACCATATCATAAAATCATAGTATCAAAACATAGTATCTCTAAAAAAACATGTTAACCACTGGATTAAGTGTACAATCAAGCATTCGCTTTCCCCTGATTCTCTGAAGTACCTGAAACATTTAAATCCACAATTGTAAGCCAAAGCTTAATGAGTTCCCCAAATTACCCCACACGACAATACACATACAATGCATGCACACGTGAGCCTACAGTCTGACTGGATCGCTCTCCTGAGCCTACAACATATAGTTGGACCGCTCACCTGAGCCTACAGCACGGGGCCGGACCGCTCTCCTTAGGTCTACAGTATCAATTGGACCGCCCAGGTATCTTAGCCTACAACATAGAGCAGGACCGCCTCAACCCAACCATAATATGTCGACGTATGCAAACAAATAAACAAACAAACAATAACCAATAACCCATGTAATCATAACAGATCTACCAATCTAACAGGCTACTACAACATATCAACATCCTACACACAAATGATACATACTACAGTACAAAGGATAGTGAAAAAACTCATCTCGCAGGCTAGCAGACAACAACACAGCTCCCACAAAGCAAAGATGGGTGCTACGTGCCACCTATATAACAATCAAATGTATATCCTCAATCTACACTCTAAAACCCTTAGGTTGACTAAAAGTCAACTTGGTCAAAACCAACTCGGCTGGCCACCACGCCGTGGCCAAACATCTGCTACGACGTGGCAGCCTCACGAAAAAACAATTGTGAGAAACCCCCCTCACCACGTCGTGGGAACTGCTCCTAGACAGCTTAATGGATTAAACCCTTAATCCATTAAGCCACTCACTTATCTCTTCAAAGAAGGCTTCCTTACACCAATTTATCTCATAAAAATCCTTTCTTTATGGACATGCATGTCCAATGCATGCCTTGAACTCTAGTTAGGTCAAAAATGGAGAAAATAAGATCAAAACCTCATGCATGAGACCAAAACTCTATAAAACTCTAAATATGAAACATGAAACCTCAAAGGGACCTCAAGGATCCATAAAGTTGCCAACTTTATGGAATCCATCCACTCAAACCACCTTAAATATGAAGAAAAATGCATACAAGCTTAAGGATAACACATAAAGGTAGAAACTTGAGGACTTATATAAGTCCAAAATGTATGCAAGAAGGAGATGAGGAGATTTGCTTGATGGATCTAATCACCAAGAACACCTTCTTCTTCTTCACTACCACCAAAAAGCTTCAAGAGGTCAACAATGGAAGCTAAGGTTGCTTTAGGTCGAAATGAAGGTGATGGAGGTTGAGGGTGAACAAACCCTAGCCATCACATCCCTTAAATATGGCTTAAGACCCGAAAATTAAGGTATTTATGTTGGCCGCCGCCACATCGTGGCGTCTAAAAGACGCACATTCCTCTCTCAGCCAACGTCACGTCGTGGTGTTTCCCTTACCATGTCGTGGCCACCCCAAAATCCACATTTGAAGTCTTTAATTACCATAAACGCAAAAGAAATATTTACCTGGAACTTGGTGTTACAAATATTATTAACCAAATTTAATATTTCATTATTTATCAACAACCTACTTTAACAAAGTTTAAAGATATATTTTGTTCAATTTCAAATATATATTTAATAAGCCATATGGATGTTATATTTTATTTGTTTAATAGGTAAAAAATAAAATTATTAGAATAATTTTTATAGTTTTTGTAATAAATTTAATGTATATTATTATAATTTAGAAAAATAAAAGATAAAAGGAATATTTTTTATAGTTTTGTAATAAAATTATTAGAATTTACAACTTAAAAAAAAAAGGTATTTAAAGACGAGACTCTCGCCAAGTCGCTAATCCAGTTGACCTTCAGTACGCACAACGCTGTGTTCCTTTGAAACCGTTTGCTTCCGCGGGTTCTTTTGTTCCAACGAACCCTAGAAACGCAGGAAAGTAGCCAGTTCATCTCTAAAATTTAATTGCGATGGCGATGGCAAGTATATACAGAAGAGTCCTTCCATCTCCTCCTGCTATTGATTTCGCTTCTTCGGAAGGGAAGGTCAGTTCTTTGCACAGAATCTCGATGTGTTTGAAATTAGTTTTCTTTTTCTTGAGTTTAGTAATTGTCTAATTATGGTTGGTTTTACTAGGATTAGATTTTATTAAAATTTGATTTTGTTATATCACTGCTGTGGAACCGATTTGTGGGTTGTTTGTAGGTTTTGTACATTTTATGATGCTCTAAATATGTGTATATGTGTTAAATCTGCAACAACATCCATATCGATTTGTCTGTAGTTGAGGGAATAATATAAATCACCGAAAACCAAGTAAAATACGTATTCATTGTACCAAAGTTTTTGTCTGCTTCTTGCAACGTAGTAATGTATATGTTCTGAATTTGCAGCAATTGTTCATGGAAGCTACTCAAGGTGGAACCATGGAAGGCTTCTTTAAGCTGATCTCTTACTTCCAAACACAATCAGGAACCTGCCTATTGTGGATTAGCTACCCTAGCCATGGTCCTGAATGCACTTTCTATTGATCCGGGTAGAAAATGGAAAGGTATCTTTCACTTTCCCTTACAATAAGATTTACCAGTAGGTTTTAACTTCATGATTACATAAGCCATTAATTGTTTGCAGGTCCCTGGAGGTGGTTTGATGAATCTATGCTTGACTGTTGCGAGCCTTTGGAAAAGGTTAAAGCCAAAGGCATTTCATTTGGGAAGGTTGTGTGCTTGGCTCATTGTGCTGGAGCAAAAGTTGAAGCTTTTCGCACAAATCAAAGTAACATTGACGAATTTCGTAAGCATGTGATTGCATGTTCTACTTCTGATGATTGTCATGTGATCTCATCATATAACAGAGCAACTTTTAAACAGGTAAGTTTTAAGCCATTTGGAGGTGGTGTCTGTGGTTTGGTGATCAAAGGAGCTTATTAGAGTGCTCTGTGTTGTTTTTCTGTTACAGACAGGTAGTGGCCACTTTTCGCCTATTGGTGGTTATCATGCTGGAAGGGACATGGCATTGATTTTAGATGTTGCTCGCTTCAAGTATCCTCCTCATTGGGTCCCACTTAAACTACTTTGGGAAGCCATGGATACATTAGATGATGCTAGTGGATTTCGCAGAGGGTAAGTTTTGTTTTTTTTTTTTTTTTTTTTCTCTCGAATTTTGTTCTACCCTCAAATAGATTGATTTATTTTCTATCTTTTCTTCAGTTTCATGTTAATATCCAGGCTTCAACGACCACCAGCACTGCTTTATACCCTGGTAAGGTCAAGTAGTTCATTTCTTGTTTCATACACATAACTTCCTCAATGCTAAACCTGTGATTCAATGGCAATCAGTTGATCTCTTTGTACAATAAAGAAGAATTTGTTGGGTTTTTATTTTTATGTTGAGATTGTCAATAATGTTTGTTTCCAGAGCTGCAAGCATGAGAGTTGGGTGAATATTGCAAAGTATTTGATGGAAGATGTTCCGGTATTATTGGGTTCTAGAAATGTGAAAGACGTGAAGGATGTTCTCTCCATTGTCTTCAATTCTCTTCCATCAAAGTTTCTTGAATTCATCAAGTGGGTTGCAGAAGTTCGGAGAACAGAGGAAGGTGATCAAAGTTTAAGTCCAGAAGAACAAGAAAGACTTGCCATCAAGGTATCTTTCTTCCTTTTCTTTCCCATTAAATGTTATCTGGATTAAATAATCTGTAAGTTTTTAACATGTAGGGGGAGATATTGAAACAAGTTCAGGAGAGTGAACTATATAGACATGTGACCGAATTTCTGTTGACAGAGAAATCAGGTTGCAATGGGCCACTGTGTTTGGGTAAAGAGAGCAGTTTGAGCGATATTGCAGCCAGTGTTTGTTGCCAGGGAGCAGGGATTTTGGAAGGAAAGAGTGAGTCTTCTTCTAATGGATTTTGTTGTGGGGAAACAAAAGTACATTGCCTGAAATCGAATGCAGGAGATATGGGTGTCACAGTAGTGTCTGGAAAGGTGATGAATGGGATGAGTGAACAGCATGTGGATATGTTGATCCCCTCCATTGGAATGCACCCAGCCAGCAATGATGTCCTCACCACACTTTTACTGGCTTTGCCACCACACACCTGGTCTGGTATCAAAGATGAAACCCTCTTGCACCAAATCAATGGCCTTGTTTCTACAGAAACCCTTCCAATTTTGCTTCAAGAAGAGGTACTACAAACTCACTCATAGCTTATCTTTTCTTTTTGTTTGTGCTTTTCTTTGTTATATAATAAAATAATTTAAAAAAAAATATGATTTATGCAGATTATGCACTTGCGTGGTCAGCTCCATGTTCTGAAGCGATGCAAAGATGATGAGGTAGAGGAAGATCTTTCTGCACCCTCTGTCTAACATTTGTAACTCCATCCATTTTCCCTTTCCTGTAATAAACAATAAATGTATTCTATTCTATTCACTCCCTAAACTACTAAAAGAAGGGATACATAAATAAATAAAAGAAATGTTTTTATAAATAAATAAAAACTATTATATCTATTCCCCTGTCTGTTTTAGGTGAGGTATGAAGAAAGGAGTGATGTGTTGAGGAGACGAGAGACAAGATTGTTGTTACAAGGGTCAAAATTACATAATGAAGGTGAGTTGTCATTATTGGGACAACAACGAGCCATTGATTGTTGTAGCAGACTTGCAGACAAATATGAAAGGCCAGATCGGCTTTCGGGTGGGGGTGGGATTAGGCGCATAATTACATGGCCTAAACCAATTGCTTATACATCATACATAGGTTCAAGGTCTATATTTTCTCTTAATTATTTATCTCGTTAGGTAGGGGGGTTAGACTAAATTGTTATTGGCCTATGATCATAGGCATTTTTGTGCCAATGTACTTGCTACATCGAAAGCTCCCATTCATGCATAAGTTCATGTAAATAGAATATATATTCATTCATTCTTGCAACACTTCTTTATGTTTTTAGCAAGTCACTGAATCCTTTGGGTCCGCTTTTTCAATTTCATATGTATGGTATGGGATTGAGGACGAAAAATTGTTGACTAGTGGGTTGTTTGATATGCATCTTCCTGTATTTGGTAAGAGGTTGGCTTTGACTTGGTCATATTCAGATTTGATACCACAGCATTAGCAGCATGTGATTTGGTCTTCTAACATTTGTTATGCCTTTTACCGGGTCTGACTCGGTCAACAACTATCAAACAACCTTAGTGTTATATTTAATTAGGACGGGGCAAGATACAAAAACTTGGCTAAAAATGAGACAAATGGAAATAGGCTAACTCAAAGTGTATTTAAATACTTACAAACATCTACATCTTTTTTATTTAAAAGAATCATATTATTATTTTGCTACTTTATTTTTTACTTTTAATTATATATTGGAAAAAATGTTTGTAGATGGATGCAACATTTGTTTTGCCCTAAACTGAAATATTAGCCATAGTCATTTGTTGGGACATGGAATTTGTATACAATTAATTCTATGACACTTATAACCATCGCTTGTTGGTTTAGTTGGTAGGGTTCCGTAAGCGTCTCCCAATAGATGACCCGAGTTCAAATCATATCATGGGGGTTTCAAACAAGGTGCCCACAGGATTGATTAGCTTATTGCCTATGGCGAGCCGTTCCAATCTATTGTTGCAAATCGAGGAAGTTGTAGTGGGTGAACGAGCAACCCATATAATTCTATGACATTTATAGAATAATTTGTCATCTATACTGCAACACTTACAATACAATAAAATAAGAATATAATCAATATATATATATATATATATATATATATATATATATATATATATATATATATATATTCGATTGTTTAGACTAGAAGAAGGATGTTGAGGTGGACTAGCAGCAAAACTTTGCTAGATAGATACCAAATATGGCTGAAAGAAATTTGTTCGGAGTGACACGGTCCACCAAAATTAAGGGAATGGAAATTGAGGTTTTATGGACATGCCCAGAGAAGACATCAATGATGATTGATGATAAAAGGACAAGACGTCCTAGCCGGATATAGGAATATAGTGCGAGGATAGTCATGAAAGAGTTTGCTCTTTTCAAGAACATGATTGTTGCGGCTAAATACCAAGGTAGATGAGTAGCCTAGCCTCATTGTATGTTTTGTTATCTGAACTTTTATTGTTTCCTGCTCATATGCTTATATTCTGATTTTTTTCTCTTGTATATGTTTTACCATTCGTATTGACTTACTACTCATTGTCTGCTAATCATTAGCATATTTTGGGATTTATATATGCTTTTGTTATGATTTACTCTTCTATATGGCTTTATACTCACTTTGATTTTGTCTTCCCATGTTTGCCTCATTCACAGGTTCAAGGCTTTGGACATGCCTCCGCTCATCTATGTGACAGTCGCTCTACCCTCCCTCAATAGAAGCACAACTACTGACAACATTTACCCCATTTTAATGGGATTCACGGGGTGTGCTGCTATTGTTGTAAATACCACTGATTGTCCATGTGTGACCCTATGTTAATATGGCGTTGGCACTAATCAAATATTTAAGTGTTAGGTTGTAGACACATAACTTAGGTGAAGAAAGAAACAGAATGGTTTAGCTTTTCAATTAACCAATGGTTGAAACATTTGTTACCATGTTGTGAAACAAAAAAGTGATTCTAACAAATGAAAATTTTGATTACATCTCCAACCAATATGCCTGCTGTATTTATTTTGGAAATTAGAAACCAACCTCCACATAAATTCAAATTCAAATTGGGTTTGGGCTTGGGTTGTATATTATATATTTTATGATGATCCGAGTGCTTTAACCGCCTTTTCAGCAGCATCATCAAGATCCTCTGCTGTAATCAATGCCATCCCGCTTTCCTGTATTATAATTATAAATCATTTTTTTTTTTAAATATTCTTCTAACTTTTCTAAAAACTAATGACAAAAAAATATACCTTGAGAATTCTCTTCCCTTGATCAACATTTGTGCCTTCAAGACGAACTACAACCGGCACCTTCAATGAAACCTGAAAAAAATTTTAAATTTAATTAAATCAAATCTTTCCATTACTACAAAATGATACAATTCTCAGAGATGGATACTGACATGTTTAGCAGCATTAACGATTCCACTGGCTATGACATCGCATTTCATTATTCCTCCAAAAATGTTGACCAATATTGCTTTGACTTTCTCATCTGATGTCAAGATCTTGAATGCTTCAACCACCTGTCCTTCGGAAGCATTCCCACCTACATCAAGAAAATTGGCAGGTGTGCCTCCATGTAACTTTATGATATCCATGGTTGCCATTGCCAATCCAGCACCATTCACCATGCATCCGATTTCTCCATCCAAACCAATATAATTCAAATCCGCTTTTGCAGCTGCAACCTCACGAGGATCCTCCTGCGTGGGATCACGAAGGGCAAATATGTCTTTTTGACGGTAAGCAGCATTATCATCAAAGTTTAGCTTCGCATCAGCAGCTACCAGCTTGTTATCAGAAGTCTCTGCAATCGGATTGATCTGAAGAGCCAAGTTTCAACTTAAAAACCAAATTTATCAAGTTTTTTTTTTTAAAAAAAAAAGTTAATTAATTAATTCTCACCTCCAACTGTGTGCAATCGGATTCACGGAAAAGGTTGTACAGCTTCTTCACTTGTTCTATTGAAGCATCTCTGTCAGCCACCTTAGGAGCAAGACCATCTACAACCTTGGCAGCATCTTCATCTGTAATTCCTTTGAAAACATCAATAGGTACCTGTGTGTGAAAAGGTTAAATTTGTCATTTTGCATCCAACAGTTATCGAAAAAGAAGACATTTTTTTCTTCTGGAAAGCATACTTTTATGATCATGTCGGGGAATTTCTCTGCAAGGTCTTCAATGCTGGTTCCTCCCTCTCGGCATGCAATGATAAGCTCAACAACACAAGATTCAAGATTTAATTTTAAATAAAGATTGATTGCAATTTCTATTATTTATTTTTTTCATTCAACAACTTACAGGACCAGCAGTTGTACGATCAAGAGTGATTGCAAAGTACATTTCGTTCACAAGTGACACTTTTTCACATAAATAAACCTGCATAAATAAAGAATAAGGTTTAATAACTTTTCATACAAAAAAAAAATAGTTAATATTTAATAAAGCAGATAACAATTTAATAAAGGTGCAAGCAAACCTTGCTGACAACTTTGCCTTGGGGGCCAGTTTGTTTAGTGACAAGAGTCTGCCCAAGCATCTTTCCTACAGAAACAATAAAACAGAGATTACATTTTTCTTTTCTTTTTTTGTATTAAAAAGTAGTAAAAAAATTAGCGAATTCATACCAGCTATCTCTTCAGCCTGGTCAATTTTGACAATGTGAACTCCACCCTGAAGACCATTTGTGAACTTTCCTAGACCTCGTCCACCAGCAAGAATTTGGCTCTTAACCACCAACTGAATAAAAAGAAATTAATGCTGTTTATATAAACCCACAAACAGGACACATGATATTTTTTCTTAAACAAAAGGAATTTATGTGAAAACTTACCTCCTTTTCATTGGGAAATGTTGTTTGTATGGCCTTTCGAACTTCCTCAACAGAAGAAACAGCAACACCTTTTGGAACATTAATACCATATTTGCCCATCAGTTCAGCTCCCTGATTTCAGAATGCATATGAGTCAATAACTAAAGAAAATGCATAGAAAAGTTAGAGTATTTGCACTTGTCGTACTAAAGTAGCATATGCAACAAAAAGATGAATTGTCCATACAATTAGATTTAGAACATTCTATAAATATAATGAAGAGACAAGTTGTCCTAAGATAAATGAGATTGAGTAGCAGCAAAGAAAGCTTTGCAAAATAAGCGGGTGTTCAGGGTCAAAGGATTTAAACAGGACAGATAGTCATTCGACTATAAATATAATGGGATGTTCTCTCCACTTTGTGAAAATGACTACAATCAAGCTGAAGCTAGTATTGGGTATTGCATCTAGAGCAACAGGATGTCAAGCCAAAATTCTTACATGGTGACCTTCAAGAGGACATCTACATGGCACAACCAAAGATAGATGGAGAAGAAAACATGATATGCAAGTTAAAGAAAAGTTTGGATGGGTTGAAGCAAGCACCAAAACAGTGGTACATGAAACTTCACAACTTTATGAAGAAGAGATGTGGCATGGACGATTGTTGCTACTTGAAGAAATTTGGTTCTTCCTATATCATATTGTTGTATGTTCATTGCAGGATAAAATATGATAGAGATCAACTAATTAAATTGATGGATGTCTACAAGATTAAAGAGAAAAATGTCTACAAAATTCGGTACGAAAGACTTGGTGCATGCAAAGCTGATACTTGGTATGATCATCAGCACATTCTCAAAGGAAGGTAATGTAAAGTTACTCCTAGAAGAAAAACATCAAGGAGGTATTAGAGAAATTCAATCTTTATGATGTCAAAAACATGCATATAGTGTTCTTTATGTGATATTAAAAATGGTATTAATTTTGCAAAGATTATGGTGTTCCATGGAGGACAAAAACAGATTTAGCTAGAATATCACTTCATCATAGAGTTGATTACTGATGGTTTTTTGAAGTTGAGATACACAGAATTTATCTCTGATGTAGATTCATTTCACTCTCAATACTGCAAAAATTAAGGATTGAAGCCCTTATTTTGTAATAGCAATGCAGCGTTCTTTGTCAAAATTCAAACAATATAATAACTATAGTATGACCAAATTAAAGTCAAAGTTCTAAATCTCGTTCTTCTTTTCCCTTCTTCCATATTCAACGGATGGATTAACCAGTCTGTGATGCTACCAAAACAGAACCGAGATGATATTCATAAATAAACAACACACATCTAAATAGTATTCGTAAAACTTATAAGACTGCAGGTGAAGGGAGAATGACTAAAACCTGATACTCGTGGATGTTGAGGCGACGGAGCTGCTGTTGTTGCCATTTTCCGGCAACATTGATCGATTTAGTTGCGAGCTTGTTCAACAAACCTCTCACCATTTTTTTTTTCTAATGATCAAATTATCAAATATACCCCCGATCTGTAACAGTTAAATTAAACAGGGACAACAGATCGAATCAAGATTCACGACAATAAGAGCATAAATAAAAATAACCTAATGTTGAAATCAAAGATGCAAAATGGGCAGCCGGAAGCGAATAGTACTGACCTACACGCCAGAATTGGGAAAGCAATTAACCCGTTCTTGCAGTTTATGTTTTTCCTTTAGTTTTTAGTTTTATATTTTTGCGAATAGTTTATGTTTTTCCTTTAATTCATGAATCGTATATTCTTTTATCAAAATAAGGATAGTTTTTATAAATGATAGTAATCAATTTGTTTTCTTTTTATAGATTTAAGACTATCTATAACTTAAAAACTTGACCCGTAGCCCTATGAGTAAATTACACGAATGGTCCCTATGGTTTAGGGTAATTTGCGTACTTAGTCCCTAACTTATTTTTTTAACTCGGAAGATCCCTACTGTTTGTTTTTGTTACACGTTTGGTCTCTGTCTTACCTAAAAATACTATTTTGCACTTGATTTTTTAATTTATTTTAAGAAACACACTCCCAACCCCATCCTCCTCACCTTACCTTACCTATCCCACCATTTTTCCATATTTAAATAATAGTCTTTTTAGGTAAGATAGAGACCAAACATATAACAAAAATAAACAGTAGGGACCAAGCATGTAACAAAAACAAACAGTAGGAATCTTCCGAGTTAAAAAAATTAATTAGGTACCAAACACGTAAATTACCCTAACCATAGGGACCATTCGTGTAATTTACTCTTTTACTCTAGCCTTATTCTAGCCACCAGGGATGACCAAGTAAGTACATCACCATCATCGTTGTCACAATCAACCATCCATGTTATTATAAAGGGTAATAAAGGTGATTTTATTATAATTTAAGCCGGTATGTATTATATCTTAAATATCGTATTTTTGTATTGTAATGTCCTCGTTTTTCTATTTTTTTCTAACACCTCACAAAATCGGTGGGTGTCATGTCACATTTAATCATGTTTTATTTATTTTTATTTTTAATTGAATAAAATCTAATTTAATAAAAGGAAAAACATTTAGTTAATTTAATTATAATGATTACATACCTAAAAACGATAAATAAATAAATAAAACTACATAAAAACGATAATTTTTAAATAAGAAAACTACTTGTAATATTTTTTCATGATATCCATTTTAGTCATTAAAACCATATCGAGCTTGTTTTCGGTAAGATGATCGAAAGATTTTGTTAAAAATTTCATATCCTGACTTCTTTGTTTCTCCTCTCGAGCTCGTTGATTCTCCTCTCTTGCTCTCTTGTTCTCCTCTGAATTCTCCTTTTCAAAACGCGAACGACTTTCAAAATTCAAATTATAAATTTTGAAATTACTAGCAACTCTATATTTCATCTCTTTTTTCCATTCCCGATGCATTCGACGATGAGCCTTTTTTTTCTCCTTATCTAGACCCATCGGTCGAACTACCTCTTCAGGCTCTAGCTCATCCACTTCGTTCAAATCAACCCCAAAATACTCATCCGATGAAGTAGTGTATCTCGTCTCGGTAACTTTGGTTCTTTTTGAACTACCATCCTCACTACCAAAATCTTCTATCAATTTCAGGGACTTGGATAAAAAACCTCCAAATATGGAGAAACTTGAACGACTTCTTATTATTATCAACAACAAAAAATTTAATGGTTGTCTCTAAAATTTGTTCATCGCCTTCCCTGCTTTTCCATTAAGTTGCCAAATTGTTGTAATTGTCGTTGAATTTTGTGACATATTTTGTTCATCTCGTGAAACTTGCTAGTACACTGATCTTTAGCGCGTTACTTGCCACAATTTATCACCATAAGAAATCATTCCTTAATGTGTCGCCAAAAGTGGTCATCTTTTTGCACATTACATTTTTTGGAATCTTCCGAAATATCTACCCACGATTGCGCTAAAACCATCTCTTCATTTAGTTGTCATTGTTGAGACGCCATCTTCTTTATTCGAACCGGTGTTTTTCCTTTTCCTCGTCTTTTGGGGTTGGATGTTTCGGGTTGGGTTTCCCGGACAATTTGGGGTTCGGGCTCGGCTACCGGTTCAGGATCGGGTTGAGTTTCTCAGACAAATTTGACTTCCGATGAAGGAATGTATTCGAGGAGGGGTGATTTTTTTTTTGAAACGAGGTTAGGCTAAGAGGTTGTATCATGAAATATTGGTGTGGTATTTGTTGGTAGTAAAATTGTTGGGGTTGGGTTTGGGGTCGGGGAGAAATCATAGACGGATCAATTTGTGGTCGGTAAACGACGGCTCCAACGGACGAATATTCATTTTTGGAATGCAAATGTTTTAAATGTGGTATAAATTGAAAATGGTTTGTGTATGAAAAATATAATAGATAGTAGTGTATTTATAGTGGTTTTTGAAAAAAAAACAATATCAGACTTTAGTCGTTTGCCAATGGCTACATTTCAAAATTGCATGCAATATAGTTTAAATCGATGGTGTGCGACATGTATACCACATTTTTAATATCGCAGCCAGTAAGGTGTTTTCCGCACACTGGGGTGCCACCCCATCTACTGCAGTGTGTGGTGGTATGTATACCGACATGTTTTAATTGGCTTAAAAAGTTAAAATGATGTGAGCCAAAATTTTAGAATAAAATGGATAAGACCATAATAAGAGATATTGAAGTATATTGTTTTTTGAACAACAAAAATATGTATATACACAAAGTATTAAAGCATCTTAATATGGAAATGTTACTAGAATTCTATGTTAATAAACTTGAAGATTTATTTTGCACACGTTTCAAGTTCAATGTATAATCGATGAAGTATTTACTTTCATTCTCATTTTTTTTATCATCTTACATTTGAGTTGCATAAACCAACCACATTGAAAATAAAATATTTATTTTCATTCTCATTTTTATTTGATCAATCTTCCGTTGAGTTGTCTAAACCAACCACATTGAAAATGAAAAAAATAAACATCTATATATATAAAACTTGTATATAAAAGGTAAATAAAATAAATATCAATAGTACAAATAAGATACATCTCTTTTTTATGAATTTGCTAAACAAACTTGATATATATATATATATATATATATATATATATATATATATATATATATATATATATATATATATATATATATATATATATATATTATAAACTAGGGGTGAGCAAACCCAAACCAACAAACCGAGAAACCGACTAAAACCGACGAAACCGAAACCGAAAAAACCGAAACCGAAGAAAAACTGACGGTTAGGGTTTGAATTTTTTAAAAACCGAAAAGTCGGGTTCGGTTTCGGTTTTTACCCAGAAACCGACCCATCCAACCCGAGAAACCGACCCATACTTAAAACCGACAAACCGCCCCAAGAAACCGACCCATCCAACCCGAGAAACCGACTCATACTTGATTGTTTTTTGGTTATAATAGACTATTTCGGGCTTTGGTTGTAACTTGTAGTAGACTATTTGGTTGTAAGACCCATGTTTTTTGAAGTATTTAACTTCAATTTGGTGTTTTTGAAGTATTTTACTTATTGCTTCGTTTTTGGAAAATGGGTTAAAACCCAAAACCCATGGGTTTAAACCCAGAACCCGTAAGTGTATGGGTTGAACCCAAGAAACCGAAAAAACCGACCAAACCGACCTCAGAACCCAAGAAACCGAACCGACCAGAAACCGATCCTATTGGGTTCTGAAAACCAGAAACCGAACATTTATGGGTTGGGTTGGGTTTGGGTCCAAAACCGACCAAAACCGACCCATGCACAGCCCTATTATAAACCATATTAGTCATATCTTGAATTTTAAGAGGTATACGTTACAAAGTTTTTTGTACAAATCAGTTATGCATAAATATTTCATTAATACTTGCCAAAAGTTAGAACACGTGAATTAAGGAAAGTAACTAAGAAATTCAATTTGGAGCAAAATAATTTTTTTTAAATATTAAATTCATTTATATAAATCAACTTAAATTTCTTAAACTACACCAATATGTAACACCCGGTTCAGGTGTTGGTTGGAAAGTTGCCAAATTGGGGAGATTTTATGCATGGACTCAGCGAGTTGGGAGATCAACTCGTCGAGTAGAGTCGAGATATTTTGGACGCGGGTCGAGACTGACTCGGCGAGTCGGAAGGCTCGACTCGGCGAGTCAGAGCTGTCTATATAAAACCCTAGTTTTGGGGTTTGCCCCCAATATAAACATCATTATACGACTTTGTAGCCTTCCTTAACGTCATAAGAGAGCGTTTACGGCCGCAAACACTCGGGTGTGTGAAGTAAGAGCTTTGGGAGCTTAAACCTTGGGATTGTGGAAGGAATTCCAAGTTTGAAGAAGAAGTATCAAGGGGGAAAACACTAGATCTAGCATCTAGTTCGTCTTGGGCATTGAATTAAGGCATGAATCTATTACCTTAAGCCTAGATTCTATTTGAGAGTTATGACCAACTTTGAGGAAATGGAAGCAAACTTAGATCTGGACCTATCACAAGGATACGGTTCCAGATCTAGACCTTCTTAGGTCCCAAATATCATAAAGTTGCATCTTTTTATGAGCTCATTCCCTCTCCATGCCTGAAAACCTTGTTAAGGGTTAGTTTTGTGTATTATGGCCATGAGAGGCCTTGCATGCACGTAAAGTTTGCAACTTTACGTGTTATCTTCACTAGTAGAGGATAGATCTGAAGTTTGGGACCCTAAATCCTACTGGAAGGAACCGAATATGTGAGAACTCGTCGAGTCTCTCTGGTGACTCGGCGAGTCAAGAGGGTTCTCTCATTCACGGCCAAGGGTTCACGGTCAGGGTGTACGGTTGGTAGTTTACGGCCGTGAACATCAAGGAACTCGACGAGTCCCTCGGGTGACTCGGTGAGTCGATGAGTAAGCAGGGACCCGACGAGTGACTGATTGTACTCAACGAGTCAATGTCAATATGGACTGTTGACCTTGACTATAGACCTTGACTTTGACCCTGGGGGTATTTATGGGATTATGTTGAGTTATTTACTCATTGATTATAGACAGTTTGGGAGGAGCAGCATGGGATATATCCGACTACAATTTGCCAGTTCAGCCTTTGAGAGGTGAGTCTTCTCACCATATCAATGGGTCTAAGGCACCAAGGCCGGCCCATTTTATGAGATATGATTATTGATTGAATGTGAGATATCATAGTATGTTATTTGCATGGAAGACCACGTGGGGGTTCCCGTGGCATTTGGTATAGGACCTTGGAGGGTTTCCATGGCATCCAAAAAATATTTGCTTGTATAGTTTGCATTGTG